CGCCCACGATTGTTATCTGTGATGTCAAACTTGGGGTTATTGTAGCACAAATTATAAATATACACGTAGTTAGGAACTTCGTCAGGTAATGAGAGGGATGTCCATGTCTAGATGATAGATTTATATTCATTACCTGTCACATTTCCTAATTAAACCCTTTTTTGCCCCTTTTATCACTCCAATACTTTCTCCGTTCCAAAAAATTGTTCCCATATTGACTTTAAGGAAATTTAAGGGGGGAATATTTTTGTTTTGACTTTTGAAAATACCCTTGATGTGATGGATAAAAGTAGGATGTGATGTGTAGATTATTAGTAAAAAGGTATGATGTGATAAGTAGGTTAAAAATTAGTATGGGGAAAAGTGGTTTTTTAATTGAAATGGGAAGGATTTTGTGGGACAAGTAAAAGAAAAGGTGAAGGAGTTTTTGGGACGGAGTGAATATATTATAGACATTGCCCTAACAAAATAAATATAATGAAGAGTAATGATAGGCTTAGGGAAGGTTAGGAAATGAATTATAAAGTGAATGGGTTTATCATAAGTAAAAGAAAAACAGTTAGTTCACATATTTCCTAACACAATTTTTGCCCCTGTCCCTACCACAAGATGTGGTATACTGTAAAAACATTTTATTGGTCAAAGGAGGGATCTGAAAATCCTAGGTACGAGTAACATTTCATTTAAAAGTATGTGCATTACTTTGGCATGAACTATATAGAGGGTAAGTAAAAAAAGATGAATAAGATGTTTCCAAAATTTGCTTCTCAATATTCTTTTTCACTGGTCTCTAAATTATTTTTGCCTTCTTCTTTAATAAAGGAAAAAAATTGTAAGTGTTCCAAAAATGAATGAGGAGTTAGGAGAAGGATATGTGGAGAGTAATTGGATTGGTTTGTATTCAGTTATACCATATCTTCTGGCATTGACAACAAGGTCTTTGGTGCTTGCAGATGAATCCAGGTAAACAAACTTGGATGCAGGCAGATGTCCCTTGTTGAAGTGGTCCACAAGCCTCTTCAGTCCCAAGTTGAAAATGGAAATGGCATTATTAATTTCCTCATTGCATCTGCTGCTTCCGTTGCCATCATTATTATACCTTGCTAGCTCATACGGTATGCACCCAATCTCACCCACTGAACTCACTACTATCTTTCGAGCCCCATATGCATATATTTCCTGCAACACACTCAATAGGTATTATAAACAACAGTTTTTCAAAAAAAACTTTGAGATTTAAACGTGCTTTTCGGTGACAGTATTTTTTGCTATTCTCAAAAAAAAAAGAACTTCAAACATCTGACATAACATGGGGTGAGTGGGACAAACCGATAACTGCCGCGAATAGTCATTGAGGAGAGAAGCAGCAAAGGCCTGAGGGGTGAAGTGAGAGTGAGTGGAGTAGAAGTCAGTCATGAAGTAGTTGTTGAGGTAGTCATTGCTTCCCATTCCAGAGTAGAAAATGCATTTGCTTAGATATGCATTTAGTGTGTTGTTATCTTCTCTGAAAAACCTCCTCAACTCCAACACCGTTCTCGCAAAGTTCTCTACTTGTTGGTTCATTGCCATGTGATCTCCCTAAACAACAAAAAGAAGAATTGCCCAGGTTGAGATGTTTTGAAAGAAGGAAAGTTGAATTGTGATATTGATATTGAATATGTATGGATAAGATTAGGGGATATGTAAGTAACTTCACTACATGATTCTACGGAGTATGAGAAATGTGTGGAAAAGTAAAAAAGTGTGGTTACAATTTGTTTAGAAGAGGGAGAATTCTTGCGAGTCACGTATTCAATTCCTTAAAAAAAAAGGACAAAGGGTAGTATTTTTTGCAATATTAGGATAAAGAAAATGGGGTGTTTTATTTAGGACATCATTAGTGATCTTAGGCAATGGCCTATTTGGTGATTTCCATCATATATATGCCATGTGTGACAGACCCTAGGTTTGCAATGCTGAAGATTAGAAAATCATACTGAAGAAATAGCGAAAAATTGGTACTGCAAGTTTTCCAATTCTGGCTCCGGTGGATGACCAAACAAAGTCCGATCAGGCTAAAATTTTAGTTGATCGTTTCTGAGTTCATCTTCTTCAAATCCATCAGTGGAGTTAGTTGTTTACCTTTTAAAATCTGTGAAAGCCTCTATCTTTACTGTGGATATAGTGTTATCTGCAGTTTTCATACTCCGTATTTATTACTTCATCCATCTGAAAATATTTTTCACATTTGACTTTTCTTGGTCAAAGTTTATAAACTTTGACTATCATTTGTGGAAAACATACATTGTACTATGATACAAATTTAATTACAATATATTTTCTTAATGAAACGTAGTTTTGAAATATCAATTTTTTATAAAATATATCTATGTATAAGTATATATATTAATGGTCAAAATGTAATATTGAAGATTCTGAAAAATTAAATGAGAATAATATTTCTGGACACTCGTATTTATGAAATTGTCTTCATGATGATAAAGTAATATTTGTGGAAAGCATAAATTATGTCCTATAATAAAAGTACTCCATAGTATTGGTATATGCCAGTTAATGCAAATCTTTCCCAAATAGTTGGGTGTTAGAAGGTAATGCTCCGTGTAGTACATGAAACTCAAATTATAGAACTAGAATTGAAGATAATAATTTCAATTCTATTATTTAGTAGTATAAAATATGTGGATTTAGAATTAGTAGTACCAAAAATAAATTAGAATTCGAAAATTCAATTCTATCCAAATTAGTTCTATAAAATTTCAGCTCTAAATTCAATTTCATCAATTCCGTGTATCAAACAGACTCTAAATGAAGTTATTAGGAAGTGGAGTTTGTCCTTGGTGCCTGATTTTTTTTTTCAAATTTCTATTGGTGGAAAATCCGGTCATTCTTTATTGTCGTTAACACGAAGTATAGTCTTTTTTATTGCTCTTGGTAAGAAGTGAGGTCTCACATCTTTTTTCTATCAAGAGAAAGAATGCATGTACTTCTTCTGTCATAAAATTTACGGAGTATCAAAGTTTGAAAAAGGGTGTGCCTTTAAAATGTATAACTTTGGTATTGTATTTTAAATTTTTGTTCTTAGTTAATAATAGAGTAAAATATGATGTATATACGATAGACGAGCCATAATTTAAAAAAAATATACCAAATTGTTGCCGGTTTCATCTCGAATGCCCGCCGCGCCTGACGCATAATTCACACCTCTAACTAAATCCCACCCTCGAACTCTCGCCAGTGGTGGAATGTAACTTTCAAACCCCAACAGTTGAGCTGTGTTACATACATATATTTTTAATTAAATGAGCATAGATATATATATATATATATATATATATATATATATATATATATATATAAAAGAAATAATAATATAGGTAATAAAAAAATAACAAACCAATACTCGCTCCGTCCGGATTTAATTTCCAATTACTTTTAATGGTGTCAATGTATGTACTACTCACTATTAATATCAATATTTACTGATAAAATGATAATAGGAGAAAATATTCATACTACCTCCGTTTCAGTGTATTTGTCCAGTTTGACTTTTTTTACATGCACCTTTAACTCATTATAAACGACGAATGTCAAAGGTGAATTTCAATTTTTTTTTAAATCGTACGACAAGGGCTGTGCCCAGTTAAAACAAGAAGAAAAGCATGAGATGGGAAGACACGAACATTATACTCAACGGATTTGGTCGAATAAAAGTACCTAGAATATCGACGAAAGTACGGCCGTTGGTGAAGCGGCCCGTGGAACCGGAGGGGAAATCGATACCATAGGGCAAGTAATTAGCCCTTGCAAGAGTGAGGATGCCATTGTTGTTGCCATTGTCAACCAAAGAGTCCCCAAATATGAAGAAGCATGGCACTTGTGGCTCTCCTCCTCCTCCTCCTCTTGCTTTAGGTGGTGATGACCAACCCCAGCACTCCCTTGGAGTTGCACAACCCCACAATAATAACAAATAGTATAATGACATTTTTGCCCTCAAAGCAAACCACTTGCCCATATTCTTACGTTGCTTTACGTAAACGAAATGAACAATGCATACATATAGAAATATGTTCTGGGACATTGCATTTTGGCAAATATACATCAGATTTATAGAATTTAAGGTAGCTAGTCTTTATGAAGTTCATGTGTCTTTCTTTTGGGGGGGGGGGGGGGGGGGGGGGGGGGGGGGT